TTATCTTCTGTGCGGCTGCATCCTATAAAGAACAGAGCTTCCCTCAAAGATGTCAAATATCTATATTAAGAAAATACTTACCTTGCTATACTTTTCAATGACTCTTGAATATGTTACAAGATGGCCCTAGTATTAGAGTCAAAATTATGTTCCTTTCTGACAGCAACTGAAGTGAACAACCTTCAGAAAGTCTAGGAAGGACTTCCTTCCATAGAAAAGGAAGATTATAAAAGGTTATTCAGAGGTTAGTTCCTAAGTTTTAAACTGATTTAACTCATTTATGGTAGGCACAACTGTTGTGTCTGAGCATAGTATGTATCTGGAACGTAAAAGCAATTAACAGAATGTGTGTATCTGAGGTTCTGGGGACCATTTATTTTCTAGTGTACACTCTCTCACCACTCCAGCCTTAAAATATGCTATTTAGCAGCCCAAAGGGTTACACAGATTACTCAGGATCCCAAAGCACAGTGCAAGACATTCCATGACCTCAAGCTGCCCATTTGGGAAGACATTTAATCAAATCTTGCACATCCTTGCCGCAACTTCACAGATTGATATTGTTCTTATGGCTGTGTTATTATTGTTTTCCGCTGTGATATGCTGTATCTTATCCATTCATCATAGGACATTGGAAAAAAAATAGAAGTAAAATTTCTCCTATCTTTATATTTACTCATTAATAGCTTAATTACTAAGAAGTTGAAATAATTGATCCATTCTTTATCTTATTCTAGACTAAAAGCATTTCTTCATCCATCACTACATTTCCAAACTCCTTTTACTGGTTAATAAAAGTAAATGCTAAGCTCTCTTCAAGTTATCTATGCATTCTTTGTATGCAGGACACACAACTGAGTGCAATACCACACAAGTTTTCCTCTGAGGGCAAGGCAGTGCACAGCACAGGGGGAAAGCCACTTTGCTAGATTGCTTCAAAATATTGCTTTATTAACAGGAACTTCTGAACACAGAAAATCCTGGCTTTACTTAAGTATCAGAATAAAGATCAACAGGGGTGGAATGTAGACATGATTCTACTATCATTAGTAATAAAGCTTTGCTACATCACTTACATTTTGCCTGCCTCAGTTTCCTACCTTATAATGAAATTTATAAATCCCATATCTCTAGATACAGAATTTTGCTATTACAGATTTGAAAAAAATGAAGCCCTCTAGAGGGAATAGTATTACTGAGAATAGCATGGGCTTTTTGTGATTAATGTCAAATTCACACATTCACTGAACTCTTTGCTTTTTAGAATACAATGTAAAACCCCTCTGAGTCTAAATACATTTATAACTGCTGTCCACTGTCATCAAAAGAACCAATACAATAAACCAGCATAATGTATATGTGTCTCTACCTTATAAATTATTCAGCTTTCAACTGAACTTTGTCCCCAGGTTCCTCTGAAGATCAGGACCTGTGACTATTAGTGGAGTTTATTCCCCAAATAAAATATGTATTATAGCATTCTCTTGGGAAAACTGGGGATACGCAGGAAAATAACTAGCACAATTGTGACCTATTATATTAGTTCATAAAACTCTGTGTAAAGATGACTCTCTGCAGCTCCACAGCATATAATTCGATACAAGTCTTTTGAGTATCTGAAAAAAGTATGTTTTTTGCAGACAAGAAATCAGTAAAACAAATATGATGTAAAAAAAATTTTGTGAAGTACACTGTAGGAAATCCATCTATTTTCTCAATATCCCACATATATGAAAGGCAAATGTGCCTAGCATTTTGCACAAGTTTGCAAGTTTTGCTTAAAAATGTATTCTTCATGTATCAGAATTGAAATGTTTTGCAATATTATCAACTTCTGAATCCTGAATTCAGTTCATCCACATTATGTGCACTTACACACTCAGTTCATAGACTCATATGGCTTTCATGGTGGCATATGGCATCTACAATGGTTGCCTGTTGGTAGTATGATACTAAGGAAAACCATAATTGGCATATAAATATGTGTAAAGAGAAAAATAGCAAATTGTCCAGCCTATCCATCCTGCAGAGCTGACAAGCTCTAGTTCAGTTAAATAAAAGTCCTTGTTTATTTAGGGTTTAGCAGGGCTACCTTTCTGATTTCACAGTACAAAAATTCCAGTGCATCCAGGTCCATGAGGATTTGTAACTTCAGGAGCAAGAACTATATAGGCATCACCTAATTCAACTGCAAATGGCTCTTTAGTATGAATTGTCTGTTTAAAGATAATGCAGAACATAGCTCTTAACTGCACCGCAGAAGTCATGCAGCACCAGGCAGATAAGATCACAGTGGTTACCAGGAGTAGCAAATGGGAAAAGCACTACAGGAAATGAACTCTTGTCAATAATCTCAAGAGTGTGCTATATTTAGGTCAATTGTACCTGAAATCGTTTGGTGGGTAATTGCTCTTTGGTCCAGACTCTGCTCTCTGAGCCTGTCAGGGTGCTTGTAGGTCCCCTGGATTGGCTTCACCAATTTTCTTCCAGCTTCATTTTCTAAAAGAAAGGAAAAAAAAATATTAAAGCCTACCAGGAATGGAGAAAATCACTCAAATGTTATTCCAGCTTTTAAAAATAGTCGTTCAGTAAATGCATTTGATACAAGGCTCACTCTGATATACAATAGATTTTGTCACTTTTTTTAGAACACAAATTTATTCAATTATTCAGACTTTTTATTTGGTCCTGCAAAGACTTTCCCTATCAGCTAAGTCTCTAAGATGACTATCTTTTGTTTCTACTGATCAGTTAATAATCAATGCAAAATTAAAACATTGTTCTGATTTTCCATGATGTGTCCTGGTGCAACATTATTCAGGCCTTAAATCCGACTGAGTCTTTATCTGGCAATACAGCTTATTGTTTAGTGATCTAAGATGTTTTATGCATGTTTTTAGAGGAATATTATAAATTCAGTTTTAGGAAGCCAGTCTAATGAGCCACTTACTGACCTTTTACAGCACTTAGTTGGACTCATATAGGAATTGGAAATCACAGCCAGTCTTTCTGTCTTTTAATATAATATTCTGCTTTGATAACATCAAGTTTTAGCAATCCTGTTCTTTCTTCACATTAAAGAGTCAGTATTAATAGAATGAGTTTTAAAGTAAGGAAATGCCTTCTCTAGCAGCTGTCCAGCATGTGTTTACCTTTTATGCAGACAGAGAGAGCATCCCATTTGTAGTCATTGCTCTGTTTTTGTGTTTAGTGCCTGCCATAGTTAAAGAAAATGCCATCGTGTGAATGTGCTGCTGAGGAACAGAAATGAATTTTTTTTTGTCTTAAAAAACTACAGAAGGAATGAGATACTCCATTAAAAGCTGCAGTGGGTGTTTCGGTTATGGTAGCTATTGTTTCTTGTGTTGAACTTCTAATTCAAAGATACTCATTAGACTGGGTAGAAGGCAATAACAGACAAAGTGTTAATGGGGCAGCAGTGGAGTGTGTCAGGAAAATGAAGGGACCCTGAGGGGCTCACCATGCTGTTTATGCTCAGCTAAATGCAGCAGCATTACCATAAATCCTCTAAAACATACTGTACTCAGTTTTTTATATGTTACCTTTCAAGCAAGGAAACATTCTACAAGATTAGAAGATGGGAACTGAAGTAAGATTCAGCCCTGTTTTCTAATGCACAAACCATTTGCATACTAAAAATACTAAGCAGTATTCTCTTACTACTTTTGCTCAGCTTTGAAAAAAGCAAGGAGAAGGTGTTTTCATCTTTAGAATAATGTATGGACATAAGTGGGAAAATTCTGAAAAGGGCCTTTTCACATAAAGTTCCTTCACAATTTAAGGGTTAGGTCTGAGTATCAGTCTCTCACATACATAGCCTAACTGTCTAAAACAGAATTATGCATAAAACTAGCAACTAATCACAAGAGTCCAAAAATCTTGATTTCTAGGGATTGCCTTGATTCTTAGATGCCTTTCAGAGGGAGTAAATTAATCCTAGGGAATTATTTCCTTTTGTACAGTAATCTATAAGGAAGTCATTAATTCTAATAATTTACTACTTTAAAGAAATATTAAACATCTTATATACAGCTCTGCATACATCTCAATAATGATTTTAATGTGACTTTTCTCTTTGACCTTAGTAAGGAGTTTTCATAAGTTAGGATAGGCTATTTACTAGTAAGAGCCAATGAAGTTGTACAGTACAGCTGCAATTACACAGTCAACTACAGGCAAGAAATAATTATTTACACAATAAAAATACAAAAAATGTGAAAAGGTTCACATCATAATCTATTCTCTTTTTTTTTTAAGCAGTAATGGATATTTATCATGGAAACAAAAATACAGGAATTTGTTCACTTTTCCTCTTTCTAATAAGCAAAAACTTCTCTTTCTCAAAATAAAGAGGGTTTATTCCTTGTGCAAATAAAATGTGCGCAATCGGTATTTCCTAATTTACCATCTAACTTTTTTTCATTAAAATAATATTTTTATTTCTTCTCTCAATGAAAAAGTAAAGCATCAAGGTCTAATTTACAAAAGCATCCACCTGTCAAACTCCTATAAAGATTTTTGGAAACAACAGGCATGAACACATCTGAAAATGAATCAGTGCTCAAAGATGTAAAGATAGAGCTAAGGGATTAACAACACTGTCCTGCACTCTGCATTCTTGTTCTTCCACTTCAAATCTGAAAATCCAATATCCAGTGGCACAAGTTTCTTATGGAAAGAAGCACACAAAAATCAAGTTTTGTTGTGCACACAAAAATCAAGCTTCTGCATGTGCAATATCTGTTCAGAGATCTGCCTTAGTATCAGCTTGGCAAAAGCACATAAAGCCATAGGCAACTGTGCTTGCCCTTGAAAATACTAGAAAAATAAAGTCTCCCCCCAGGTTTCTATTCAAATTCTGCTAATGATAAAAATGCTTTGTATCAGGAGTCTAAACAAAAAATGCAATTACCTCTGAAGAAGTGGAAATACAGGGTGCTCATAAGACACTAATACAGTGATTCTACTTAATATTTCGCACCTGAGAAAAGTATATTGAAAGGACAGAGATGCAATGCTATAAGTGATGCACTGTCATCTATAAATTAAAAGGGTAATTAAGGAGTGATGTGAAATATAAAGAAAAAAACAGAGTGAATGTCCTTCATTCAAGGAAGAAGATATCCAAAGCTGACATATAGTGTCCTTTGGGAAATTTAAGAATATCGGCATTGCAAGTAGACAGTCCACGAGCATCCTTGCTCATGTTTTACTGATGCCTAACATATATTATCCTGATGCACACATAGGCATCAGGATAAAAGCTTCAAGGAATCAGTCACTGCCCAACAAGGATTTAAAACTAATGAGGAAGATCCAAAACTGGCACTGAAGAGAGCTTTGGGGAAGGCTGCAGGTATTTCTTAAATCGTGGTCAAAATATTTTCCTTCTGGTTTGAGGAATGCTGGAGCAAATGGGAAGAGTCAACTGCTGCTGTCAACTGCTGAAGAGTCAACTGCTCCTGTCTGCATGAGGCAGGAGAGATGGGGAGCACGCAGGGCATTACTTGGGTTACATCACAGTGTAGATTGCAGACCTACATGGGGCTCTTCTAAATGAGCAACGTGTCCAGCATTAGGACAGTAGGGACTGTGCTGGTTTCCCTAAGGAGAAAGACAGCTGGGTTGCTTGGAGTTCATGCATCTCCCTGATAGCAGTCAGGGAGGACTCGTGCTTCGAGGAGAGATTCTGCTCTATGTGGCCCACAGCAGATTTGTGGCTGCTTTGACACCCCAACAGGACAGGACAGGTCAGATGTTGTCCTTTGTCCCGAATCCAAAGTCCTTGATGCAAAGCAATTTATGGTAGGAAGAAGGCTGCTACATTACAAGCTATGGATTTGGAGGCATTTCAGACGTTGACAAATTCACTCCCTTGTTCAGATTCAGCTCCTCAATACAGCAGAGCCCAGGGAGCCAGACCAGAAGAAAATCAAGCCCGTAATCAAAGCAACTTGCCAGTGATTACACTGAGTGTGGGACGGGGTGCTGACTTGCCTTTCTGGACCTTTCCTGCTGTTTCCTGAAGCATGTCACAGGTCGTGAGGGCGTCTTCTGAAATGCTAATAGCTAGACAAATGGAAGTGTAACGCAAACATTAACCTCTGTTTGCACGAGTTATAGCAGATAGATAGTTTTATCCTCCCACACTGCTCAGCTGCTGCTGAAGACTCATTGTGAGGGCTGTGGTGAGGGGACATGTATTACTGATACTGCTACGGTGCCAGATTTCGTCTACCGCAGTTCACGCACCATGTTCAGCACACGAGGTAGGAAGTACCTGATGACTTCACAGCAAAGTGCTGAGCACCTACAGGTTTCTCTGTGGCTAAGAGGCCCAATTTTACCCTCTGTTGTCACGAGATAATTTTTTTATTCTCTCTTCTTAACTTTTAAGGACAAGAACATCCTCTAAACAAAATGAAATTAAAAGTGCAATAGCACAGAATAACATATCACAAAAAAAGAACACGGAAGTCTCCTCCTTGGAATACCTTTAGTAATCTCAGTAGAGAGCAAACACAAAGAAAGCCACAGAGCCTGTTCCTGGAAAATTGTTATATTCACAGATCAGAACCTCTTCCTGTGTCTGGAAGCTGATTGTGACTGAAAAGCTCTTATGATGTACCTGAGCCACATTAAAAACTTTGACACACGCAAAGCCTAACAGACATGCACAGAGATACATCTACTTTGAAGAGAGAGAAATAGGTAAGATAAACAGACAGACAAAGAGAAGGTAGGTAGATAATATCTATAGCTCATATCTATCTATCTACTTACAAATGGAATTACCCGCACAGAAACCTAAGTATCATTTTTTATGCGTAAACAAGCTTCATCAAACAGTGACTTTTTCATACGCTACTCTGCTGAAATGTGATTTTTCAGAAAAAAAGAAAACAGATGTGTGGGAGCAATTCTTCCAGCCAGTGCATTACCCCATCACCCCAACCACTGCCACTTTGAAGCTGAAGTCTCAGACTATTTCTCAGGCGTCAACATGAGGGTGGCTTCACCAGAAACACCCTCCTCTTTGCTTCCCCCTATTTTAGTAGTATTTCCACTCTCAAAGCAGTACTGCAACAGCAAATCTGGGGCATAGCAGAGCTTGCTGGAGATGCACAAGCCAAGTGCTACAGTGTCCCCCAACACAAAAGCGTTGATGTGGGATACAGTGTCACGGGTGCAAGATCAGAAAATACCTTAGGAAAGCACACAAGACTCAGTTCTAACAACAAATAAACATGAAAGCAAAATATGCTTATGAACATATATATTGGGAAGATAAAGTCTTTGTGTCCTCTGATGGAGATATAAGAGTTCCCAAAGAGGCTGTGGTATATTTACAGAGCAAATTCCTACAGCTTGATTTCTAGTAGTGTTAAAAGTGCAAAACCAAGGGGGGTTGACATATCAGCTGCAATGTGAATTGCTTATCAAAGAGTTGTCCTGGCACATGTGTAGAGCAAATGCAG